TATTATTTTTCAAAGTGTCAGAAATTAATAACAAAACTGCTATTTTCAATGACTACTTATTTTTGTCCAGCTTTAACATCAGTATCGATATCGGTTATCAGCTACATGAGTTTTAAAATATCGGCATATCGGATATCGGCCAAAATCCCAATATCGTGCATCCCTACTGATTTTTGCAGGTGCACAGCATTTATACTGTAAAAACTATTTACATTACAGTATTTTATTCTACTTTTTATGAACTCTTCACTATTATGTTAATTTTATAAACTTTTCTAAAGTCCACATTTGTGTGACCACTTTTGCTATAATCTTTTTTTGCTGCTGTAACACCAGAATTTCCCCATTGTGAGAAATGGATTTTCTATTCTATTCTATTGTAAATAAATTTTCACAACTACAATTTTACACAAATTGATGTTTAATGGAAACAAGTATTGTGAACTAATTTGGAAGAGCCTTCACTTCATTATCTGCTGATTTAACGTTGCTTTCAGTTAGCTTCTGCTAATGGTGTTGGCTGTAGCTAATGTAGCAAACAGTAGATCACAGCTGCTTGTTTCAACAAATATCTTATGTATAACAGCTCAGGAAAACTTTGCGGCAGTGATGCAGTGTGACATCGTCTCAACTTGCACCAGTCAAACATAATATGTTAAAAACAACTGGTATTATAAAGCCCTCTTGCAGGTTTCTGTTTAGTAAGACACATCATCAACCCAGCATGCATTGCGCAGGAGAAAAATGGCGACCTCCATAGGGGAAAAAATCTAACAAAGGATATTTTTTTATATATAGTAAAAGGTTTTATTATTACATATGAGAATTGTGAAGTAATAGGAATATTATAACATATTTAGGTTTACATGTTCAACTCGTCGTGGATCCCTTCAAAGGATGGAGGAAAAGGAGACGGCACATTCCTCACTGTATGACTATAAAGGGATACTTCCTTTCCTAAAAGGGGAAACTTGCAATTCATAAAACATCATCTCATGTGTAAAGTTTGAGGGGGGTATTTTGCAGCAGGAAGGATAGCACAATAAGGAAAGAAAATTAACGGGAAGAAGGAACATCTCAAAGCATCAACAATGGCTATTCAGTTTACACTTTCAAATTAGTTATAAGGTCAGTTAAGGAATACATTTAAAGTTTTGGAGCGACCAGCCCTGATCTTAGCCTCTTGGGAGATTTACTGGCAGATGTGAAGCCAGTTCTGTTTGAAGGAATGGGCCAAATTACTGAGGAATGATACCAAATTATTTGACCAATCCAATGAAATTTATATAGCAGATAAAAATGAAGTGGGTGATAAAACTGGAAGAAGAAGTGTGGCAAAGAAATGCCCTTTTATTAAGTTTATATTCATGTCTGGTTTCTACTGTATGTTAAATGGACTGATCCGAAGCTTCTTAATGACCAGGGCAGGGACAGTGGTGGCAGACAGCCGCCCCCCTGCTCATGATCATTACCCCACAGCAGGTGAGCTGCATGGAAAATTAAACATTATCTCGGAAAAATGAACGAATATAGAAATATTGCAGCGATTCTATTCAAAAGAAGGATTAGAGAGAAAATAAGCTCAAATCCTGCACAGCATGGATGAATGGATTTGTTTTGATGGAAGCTCTTACAGTAAGAAGAGACAGAGGAGTTAAGATCTTAATAGATCTGTGCTCCCCAGCTGTTCTGAAAGAAGCCTGTCATGTAGCGTGCACATGCACTTAGGCGTATTTACCTCAATCCTGCTGTCTGTCTGACGGGCACGTCTCGCCGCTGGAGATGCACGGTCATCCGGTTGTCTGGCAACCTCTCGATCAAAGAGTTTTACAGCATGGCCCGCACATTGCAGACGGGGCAACACACAGAGGCTGCCCTACTAATGCAAAGGATAAGAGGAGAGAAACAGAAACACAACACCTGCATCCGTTTACCACAGCCGGCCCACGGCTGCTCATAACCCCAACTTAAATTATTCATTTTCATTTTGATCTGCTGGTCGATGGGCCACGACAAGCTGCATTCATTACTCCACAACCCGATATTGAATAGGAAGGCGAGAAGAAAGTAAAGCAACTCCTTTCTGTGTTGAAATTCTTGAACTAAATTGGAATCAGCAGCGTTGCAGCCTTCTGTCTGGCCTTTATTAGTGAACTCAGAAATCCAAATGCGGCTCAGGACAATCAGTATTCTCCTGGCTAGCGCTTCCTGTTTATACTGTGATGCTTAGAGCAGCTGGAAATATAGCTGCAGCAGGTAGCTTCACATCCTCTCGACAGCTCATTAAATATTTACCTGCAGCTTTCACACAAACCTAACCAATCCCAGAACTTCAAAACTTCTGAAAATGTATACACCAGAGGGGGGGATTTGTTCAGTTATATCACATTAAAGGGGAACTGTGGGAAATCTAGCCAAAAAAAAAAAAAAAAAGGTCCAATCAGTTCATTTCACTCGAATAAAACCAGAAACATTTTTATTCGTTTGTAAGACTGTCAATACAAAACACCACCGACATGGACTATAAAAAGTTGCTATTTGAGCATTTACAGAGCACAGATCGGCATTTATTTCAAACAGGAACACCAATACGAAGAGAATTACAAAAAAAGCACTTTCAAATCAGAGCACATTTGAACATCCAGAAATGATGAAAGAGATGCAGAAACAGTCGAGTCGTTTTCACTAACCATCCTGTTTCTTTCTACTGCAACAATTTCTCACCCAAGTATTCACACCCTTTGATTTTTTTTTTTTTTTTTTTACATCTTTCATGTTACAACCACAACCTTCATAGTGTTTTACTGGGATATTCTTATGATAGACCAATGAGTAAAATTATGTGGTACATAATATGTAAAGTGGATAGAAAATTAAACAAATTTTTTAAACAAAAATCTTAGAATTGAACACATTTGTTGGGTCAAAATGATGACAGGTGAGTATTTTGGAGTCTCTTTCTTGGCTAATTGCCTCTGATTGGTTCAAATGTTTCCTATTCTTTACATAGACACATTGTTTGTTTTGGATATCTAATGAGAAACCGATGTTAAAATCTAATTTCTAAGAATCTACGGCCTATTGGTCATTCACATTTTTTTGTATCACTCAAGAACCGTGTCTATCTTCACTCCATATTTTTTTTTTCCATGGAGCAAACTGATTTCCTACGGTTATCTCTATTCCTCTCCCAGCTTCATCTCTGACCTGCTGAGTTCCTTCATCCTCATGGTGCTGTTTTCTCCCCAGTATTCTCTAACAAAGCTATGGGGTGTGTTTAGGGGACTCCTGGGGATATCCTGAGATTGAAATGAAATCCACATGGATGGACTCTGTTTACTGCTCAAGTGACTCTTCTTTCTTGCCCTATCATGGTTTACTTTGTGTTGGTCTATCGCATTGAATCCCAATAAAAAAACACTGAGATGACTATATATGGAAATGTTCAGGGGGTGTGAATACTTTTGCAGTTCTCTGCATTTAAGTTGATAATCTTATTCAACTAAAATTTGTCCATCTTTGGTTTTTTTAAAAAGATGGTCTGATCTGCACTTTGGTGGTATGGACTGGTGATGGGACTGGCAATGAGAGTAGAGCTGACTGGTGTTCGAGAACAGTGTCAGAATGTGTGTGAAGACTGTTATTGGGAATGTGGGCACGCAGTGTAAGGACTGGCAACAGGATTAGTGTTGGAACTGTCGTATGGATTAGTCAGGACTGGTGTATGGATTGGTCAGGACTGGTGTATGGATTGGTCAGGACTGGTGTATGGATTGGTCAGGACTGGTGTATGGATTGGTCAGGACTGGTGTATGGATTGGTGTATGGCTTGGACAGGACTGGTGTTGGAACTGGTGCATGTATTGTTCAAGACTGTTGTATGGATTGCTCAGGACTGTGGCTGGGACTGGTTTATGGATTTGTCAGGACTGGTGTTGGGACTGGGGTATGGATTAGTCAGGACTGGTGTTGGGACTGGTGCATGTACTGGTCAAGGCTGTTGTATGGATTGCTCAGGACTGTTATTGGGTCTGGGATATGGATTATTCAGGACTTGTGTTGGGACTGGGGTATGGATTGGTCAGGACTGGTGTATGAATTGGTCAGGACTGGTGTTGGGACTGGGGTATGGATTGGTCAGGACTGGTGTATGAATTGGTCAGGACTGGTGTTGGGACTGGGGTATGGATTGGTCAAGACTGGTGTATGGATTGGTCAGGACTGGTGTTAGGACTGGGGTATGGATAAATCAGGGACTTGTGCATGAATAGGTAAGGGGATTGCCAGGACTGAAGTCTGGTCAAGTGGACTGGTGTCAGGACTTTTGTCCAACTGCTTTGAGGACTTAAGTCAGGCCTGGAATGGGGTTTGTTGGGTAAAGTTTTTGAACTGGTGTTGCTACTGTTATTGGGACTGATGTTATGCAAGGTGTTGGGACAGATGAATCAGGAATGCTGCAGTCCAGGAATCTGGTTGGTGTATAGACGGTGTCAGAAATGATGTCAGGATTGGTTTTTGCTCTTTTTTTCTGCACTGGAGTTGGGACAGGTCAGGGCTATACCAGATGTTTAGGAATTGAGGTTTTCACCTCCAGAGACAGCTGTGTGTGTTCTGTACATTCTTTTGATGATTTTGACCTCTGGTCCAGTACATTGCTTATTAAAATACAGAAACTATAAAAAATATTTTTCTCACTAGATTAGCATGACCTTATATATTTTTATATATTCAGAAATAATTGAATACATAGATAAATAGATAATCTGTGTGAAGATTAGAAATGTCCATAAAAGTTTTTCAGTTGTAGAGGAGTGACCACCGTATGAACGCTGACTTGTTGGAGTGCCACTGTATCCCCCTGATGACCAGCGAACTGGGTGACAGCCCGGTTGTGTGCATTTGGAATGGAAAGGGCGTCCCTCCTCAGCTGTGCTAGTCTTTAGCTTTGTTAGCATTCATTTTTACTGCAGGTGGCCTGTCGTTCAATTTGCCATGTGCCCTCCTCGTACGTACAGTAGCAGATTGTGCAGTCGTCAATCTTCACTTCTCGGCCGGCTGGTATCACCTCTGTGTCCGCGTAGCAGTTGGGTCCTGTGGGGGGCACAAAGAAACAGAGAAACTAGTTTTGGCTTTGTGGTGTGCATGAAAATGAAATTTCCACTGGACCCTGCATATTTTTCCTCCCTTTCTTTGTGTTGCTGGCACCGTGTCATTTTATCGAGGTCAGACTCTCAATCAGAGCACTGAAAATGCATGAACATCCTGAGCTCCTGTGGTGTAATGTGCAGAAGGAAGTGAGCAGGGGTTAAAATAAATGAGCATAAACATAATGACTTTTCAGCTAATGTTTTTTTTTTTTTTTTACTTAAGCTCTGAATATAGAATCAGAATATCTTTTTAATGCCAGGTGCTGCAAGCCCCTTAAAATTTCTCTGTCTGTGCTTTCAGCTTTACGACCAACCAAGGACACCATTCAATGTATGAAGAGGTAGCATAAGGACAGATCACACAATTTAAAGCCACTTTCTATCTGCCGCCTGAAGGACACCAATCAGTTTAAAAATCTCCAAGCTGACTGAATTTCACTAGCCTTGATGCAGGTGTAGTATGACATAAATATCTCGTACTTTTGGTTGAAATGATCTGTTTCTATTACTTATTCTTTCAAGCCTATAAACCTCCCAAAACTAATTAAAATATATGAACATCTGACCTGAAGATTAGAATATTTTACTTTATTTTCACTGCTTTCTGTTCAGCAGCACCACAGTCAGGAATTGCCATTATGGGCATCAATCTGCTTTTCATTTAAGGCTTTTGATTATTTATTTAAATAGTTTATTGAAGGAAACTTTGCTTCACAAAAAGAATAAACAATGCATTTAACCTTAATATTGTCTCTTAGCAGAATGAACAGTGCCGTATGCAATAGCCCCACAGCCTGATACTGCCACCAACATGCATAACCACTTCAAAAATTACTGCTTTATAGAGATTCTCAGAATTACTTCCCTAAACATATTTCAGGTTTTATATTGTTTGACCATGAAATGTTTCGCAACAAGTCATTTGGGAAATTAAAAAATCTTGTTGGTTTTCTAACGCTTTCCCATTCATGCTAGGTCTGAGCTTTGGTAGTTCCTCAGTGTCACTTAGGTCTGATGTAATTATGGATTTAGCATCTGCACTTATATAGAAATGGCTCCAAAAGACTTTCCACGCTTCAATAAATCTTCATCTCTTTTTAATTGCTCTGGAGACGGCCCAGTTCATTTTATTGAGTCAAAAAAAATCAGCAACATGGAAAACTATCAGTCATTAATAATAATAATAATAATTAAACTTTATTGATCTCACACTGGAGAAATTTACCCCTGCATTTAACCCATCCACATTGGGGAGCAGTGGGCTGCCATTGTGTGGTGCACAGGGAGCAGTGTGGGGTTATGCGTCTTGCTCAGGGACCTTGAGTGCAGGCTGTGGGAATCAATCCGGGTACTTGAAACCTTCTCAGAGCACAAGCGCACTGCTCTAACCACTAGACCAACACTCTTAGAGGTTAGAAAACTGACTCCCCCAGTCATGCATAAAAACCAAGATTACCAAGGTCCAGGTTAGGACATTTTAGCCCCTTTAGTGGCACATCAAAAACAATTTACATGTATATATATACCCACACACACACGCCTACACCATATATACTGTAGGCTAAAGGAAATAAGCTATAAACGTATAGCTTATGCATCCATTCCTGATTTTTTAATGTTTTTTTGTACATTTTTAATCATTGAAGTTTGTTGTTTAATCCATCCAGGAAAAACTACACTTCAAATAAATAATTAATAACTCCATTTAACACTCATTGGCATGCATGCAGTGAGAGTCTGCGGAACGAAGCAAATGTCTGAACCAAAGGGTCTGAGTCTATGAATGTTGCTGTTCATTTAAAATAGTAGGAAACAAAAGAAATCTCTTTCTTCCACTCCCACACTCGTAAACAGGAGGACAGATAACTGCATAGCAATATTTAGTATTGGTGTTAATAAGAGCTCTTAATAAGATGTAGCCATACTAACTGCCTTTTCTGCTTGCTTTAAAATCAAATAAATAATAAACTAATTAATATAAATAGACAACTCTTCTGACACTATAGAGGACTGACTCTGGCAATTAAAAATAAATACAGTAAATGAATAAATGTAGGACTAAATTATACAATGAGACATACAGTAACTTTACATCTCTTATAATGCTTCTGCTTCTGTCTCCTTGAACCCCAGTTGCCTCGGCAGATAGCCGCCCACCCTGAGCCTGGTTCTGCTGGAGGTAACTTTCTGTTAATGGGAGTTTTTCCTCTCCACTGTCATTGCATGCTTGGTGTGAGGGATTGCTGTCCAGCCAATGAGTCATTGCTATTAGCCTGTTTTCCTTAGATAGAAAACTTTGAACCAGTCTGACTGTATCATCTGTTTGAATCGTCTGTAAAATGCCTCGAGATATTTGTGGCGAGTTGGCGTTATATAAATCAATTAAATGAAATTTGAATTAACTTGCATCTATCCATCTTCACTCAGTATTCCATCAGGGTTGCGGTGGGGCTGTTGCCTATCTCCAGCAGTCTATGCAACAGACTGGACAGGTCGCCAGTCTGTTTCGGAGCAACACAGAGACGCATAGAGACGTAAAACCATGCACAAACACTTGCACCTAAGGGCAATTTAGACATGCCAAATAATCTAACAGTCATTTTTTCGGACTATGGGAGGAAGCCAGTATATTGGGAGAGAATACACATAGAACATGAAAACTCCATGCAGAAATACCCCGGCTCGGGAATCGAACCCGAAACCAACTGCACTACCTACTGCACCATTTTGATTAACTTATCTCTTAATTAATATTTTAAATAATTGCATTATTTATTCTTTATTATCCATTCTAATTTTAAATTTTATGTAATAATTACTTATTTTTATCCATGGTTAAATATTTGTGTCTGCTCCATTCTTCCTTTGTTTATTTTACCCTACTTATTCCTTCAGTGTTTTTTATTTATGCTGGTCCTTTTTACACCTCTTGCTTTTCTGCAGCTGAAAATGTAAAAGCAGAGGAGGAGGCGGTCTTTGGAACGGCTTCAGAGGCCCGAATTATCGCCTGCCGGCTGAGGTCAGGCCTGTAGGAAGCAACTGCTGAATGTTTGCTTTTGAAAAGGAGCACATAGCTAAAGCTAACTTCTACCATGTTATTGCTAATGAAGGTTGAAGGGTTTTGACATTAGAGAAGAACAGCTAGCAGTACACTTAGAAGTAACTCAACATATTTAACTGTGTGTTGTTGACTGTCAATAGAGAATAGTTAATTTCATGGGGGGAAAAATATGATTACTCTGGTTTTTGGGCTACTTTCAAAATAAAAACATGCACTTGAGAGGGATTTTTCTCCATAAAAGAGTAAGTTATTAATGAATAAAGCTAAAAAAAAGAAACAGATTACTATATGTTTTGTACCTTTAACTGTAAGCTTTATTTATCTATTAAGTATTTGTTATTCATGCATTCAATTTTAACAACGCCAGAGTTGGTCCTCCATACGGACTACTGCAAAAACAGGACGGAAAAGAAAAAAACTTTTTGAGAAGAAGAGGAAATCTAAGACATGCTCTGATGGACGTGGAGGCTATTCAATACGACATTTTACTGGAAAAAATATTTTAGTTTGACAACATACAGCCTGGTTTCTGAAGCGTCGGCCATTTCATGCTCTGAAAAACACAAACTTATATCACCCTCATTTAAAATAATAACACCGGGGGAGATGGATGTGTGGCGGGGGCACATTTCAGTCAAGGAAGATTTGAGCCTGCAGGGACAAAATGGACCCCTGTACCACCACTGTCCCTTGAATATGTTGACTCTGTTCCACAAAACAATGCTCTGCTTTCTACAAGTTGCGGCAAAACTAGATAAATGTGCAAGTTTAGAAGCTTAAATCAATGTTATACAATAAAAAAAAATCATATATATCCCTTTTAAATGCACACAATTATAAAGTTTCCAAAAGTTCTTAGTCTTTATTAAAGTCATAGGGAAGCCGCTGTTCCAACAGCTGCAGTTTCGAATTCTCTAGAGTACTGCATGACTGTACACAAGTGAATAAAGTGAATTGGTCGATTATCAAGGGGGCGGGATTGTTGTGGCGGAAGGTTCGGAAGCAAGTTTGATTGTGGCTGGTATCTCGGAAGCATCTTGCTAAGCAGTTAGCAACTTAGTGCTATTAGGTTCCCAATGGGAAATTACATTAGGACCAAGTAGCACTAAATTGGTGACTTAAGGCCAATTTATGCTTCTGACGCATACTCTATGCACCCGTCAAATCTGTCTCTGCGTGTGACCATGCCCCCCATGCAGAGGTTCTGCAACCGTCGTCGCGCACCTCAAAAAAAATCCTGACTACATGCCGGAAGGTCGCAATTCTGCGCAGACCTCAAGTGGAGGTGCGGAGACAAAAAGCAGCTGTTATTGGTCCTTGGTATGCCTTTCCAGCCGTCTGTATGGTCGTTCTTCTCGATTCGGTGCCAGGGCGCGCCATTGTTAAAAACCGAGGAACATTGGACAACTACGACGAAAGGTTAATCGAGGAGGTTCGGAAGTACAACCACTTGTACGATGCCTCAGATAAATTATATAAATAAATATATCCTCTTCGATTTCTAGCAACTCTAGATCCATCTCAGTGACCATGATATCTTGCAGATGCGCCATTGCTGTTTTGGAAGATAAACACTCCCACCCGCGCAGCCGAACTTCTCGTGACCATCCCTCGAAGTTCTCGCGAGTTCCTGAATAGGCTCCCCCTTGCGCTTTGGGGGGAAACTGTAGTGCATCCCCAGAAATTCCAGGCCAACGGTGCAGAAGCATACCAGCAAAACTGGTCCGCGACTAGACCCAAGCGACATTTGAATGTATGCAGATGAAGAAGTATAATCGGCCATTTGGAAACACTGTGAAGGAACGCTATGGACCGCGGGAACATGCAAGAGAAGGAGAGTTTTGTGTCGGAAGTCGTGTATGAGTCTCCTCCGTCATACTTTT